AAATAGCAATGTCTTCATTAACCTAAGCCTTGCCTTGAGCCTTGTGGCTGCTCTTTCTCTGCCCAGCCTTTTCTGTTACCCCTGTCTCAGACTGACAGTCCAATCCTTCCTACACCTGCACTGGTGCTAAGGACTGCAGACCCAGGGAGATGGCTTAAAGCCCTGGCATGCAGTCCATGGTCTGTGGAGGTAGGAGAATTTCTCCAGTGGTCTTCAGAGAGCAGCAGAGAGCTGCTTGAGTCCCCTTTGCCTAGCCCATTCCTCCATCATCCCCAGTACATCCTTCTATCCCTTTTTCCTCTACCTAAAACATGGAATTCCCCCATGGAAACCTGTGCTGCAAAGAGCCTGGGCAGCTGTGTGGGTGTCAGGGAACAAGGGTTGATGTTCTCTGGGACCAGTGACAGTTACTCTCTGGTCTTTGCTGGGAGCTGCCCCAGATACACAATGATCCCAGCAGCTTCAGATATAGGACCCAATCTAAGGGTGAAAAGCTCTTCCACTGTCACTCAGAGGTGTCACAACCTGCTCCCAAGACTCTGTATTTATTTCATCCAAAGAATGAACAAACTAATGAAAATATGGAGCCCTAGCCTTGAAACTGGCCCAGGTACCCTGGGCTCCTTCTGCTTCACTTACCCCTCCAGACTGATTCTCCATGTATGGGTGGCCAGGTGGATAAGCTGGGTCAAGTGTGAGGTTCTTCGCCACTATGGTGTCTTGTACTTCAGGGGTGATTTCATCCCTCACCAGGAAGGCCATGAAAAATCCCATCATTACGGGTGTGATCTTACTTGGGCCCTGGGAACAGGGTGTGCTGCCACTGTGTTTTGTAAAGCCATTGCCATTTTCAGTGCCACTGTGTTTCACAAAGCCATAGCCATTTTCAGATAGGCATGACAGCCCTATCTCACCCCCTGGGGTTTCGGGAAGGGAGGGAAATGGTCCTCACACTCTTGCATGCATAATCCCGTTAGCTAACACCAGCAGGCAGAATGTGGAGCCACGAATTGCCTCCACCATCTCCAAATGACCTCTGAGAAGAGCCTTGAAACCGCCTAAGCACTAAAAGACAGTTTGGATGACCTCCAGTGAATGTACAGCAAAGGGTGAACCCCACAGCTCCCTTTACTGTGAAGGAGAAGTAGTATTTCAGCACAACAATGACAACCCACATTCACACAGAGGTCTGAGCTACAGTGTTTGCATCTCTGCTAAACTGCCAAATAACCTCTCAGCACCCAGACCCACCTGCTGAGCGATAAGTGCTGTAGGAACGGGATAATTTAATTCCTCTCTTTGCTGGAGTCAAGCAAAGTAACAAAAAGCCCATTCATCTCTTTCATTAAATCTTTCCTCCTTTTTTGTAATCAATATGGGCCAGATCTCTTTTATGGAACACAAGGCTCTAATTCAGCTGAGTAAAAAATATAATGTAATTCTGAGAATCCACAAATGCTCTAAATGTGATGAATTTAACAATGTCAATTGGTAGCTAGGAAGCAGAGAAAAATACTTCTGTGACCATTAGAGATTTAATACTTACTACTTTACTGTTTACTATTCTAGAGTAAACAGTGGTAATTTTACCTCACATATATTGGCAAATCCAGTGCTTTCTGATAGTGGAGAACACATGTTCCTTAGCCCTTTATTGTGTTGAAATAGGCATTGAAAAATAACTTTTGAGATGAGGAGTGATCTGATCCTTTCTGTTCTTCAAATGCATTCACACCCGGCACTGCTCAGTAGGCTAACCTGGTCTTCAACAAATGCTTCACAGATCTTTCATAGTTATCAAAAGCCCAGTTTCAAGACCAGAGAGCATTTCACGCCGAAAGCATAGCAAATCAGCCAGGAGAGTGTGAAAGCAACTCTGGGCACTCTCACTTTTGTAGGGTAATTTACTTTCAGATGAGCAGAGAGAGGTATTAATGGACTCCGCACCATCCTCTCTGGCTCAGTGACAGACTCTCAGTCTGCCCAAGCCCCAGCCAACAATTCAGTCTCCTCCTGAGGGCTCCTCAAAGAGGTCAGAGGATGGGAGATATCACAGCTCTGGACAGCCCAGTGGAGCTGACGCCCTGGGCCTGCTCCCCTCCCAGCTCCTTCCACATGCCACATGCAGGGCACTAGCAGCACCCTGAGAATCTGCAAATCCTGACCTAACTTAGTCTATTGCCCAGCATTGCTGTTCCTTTGGGATTTACAAGCACAAAACAGGCTCAATTCCCCACTTGAGTCCAAGCTGCAGTTTGTATCCTTTTTCCTGCACTCAGCCATGGCTGGAGAACTGGAGATAAACTGCAGTTACTCTCAGGGTAGGAGCTGCCACTACCAGCACTGCAGAGATGGGCCAGAGGAGAGGCTAAAGCCTTTCACTGCACACCATAGAGCAGCCTTCATCCTTTAATTTTCTTTCCTTTATAGTTATTCACACATCCAAGGAAGACAGATGCTTCAGCAGAAAGGGCTGCCGAATGGCCCCTGTGTGGCTGAAGAGCTGCCTAGTGCTGCAGGCAGTACCTGCCTGGGGCTGCTGGCCCATGGGACACCACATCTCAGCAAGCAGGCGAGTGACACACAATCATACCTCTTATTGTGGGGGGATTGCTAAGTGGAGGCAATTATGGAGCATGTCGGGAGCATGACATCTAAACATGTGTTTGATACTTTGTCCTAGAATTAGGACAGAATTACACCACTTTCCATTCTGATTAATTCTTTTAGCCTGCAACTGACTTCAGATTTGCATAAGCAGTGTAGTTCATGCTTTCTTCTACCAAAAGCCAAAAAGCACGATATTTTTCAGCTATTATTTTGCTTTCAGTATTTAAGCTAATTTCTACAGTGCATTTGTCATTGTTCAAGAACAGCTCTGTCGTTAATGCCAGCTCAATAGAATAGCATCAGAATGATGATGTCTTGTTTGAATTTCAGCTTTTCTGATAAAGTAAAAAATCCTGAGCCCTATGTGTAATGTTTTCTGACCCTGCATGTTGCTCTCTGCCCTAAGGATGCATGGGTCATCCTGTGAAAATAGATCTATTGTCCTCCCCCCTGAATCCTGAGCCTGTTGCTGGTGCTTTTTAGTGCTCATGGTTTTAAGACTGTTTACCCAAAAGAAGTTTGCAGCTCCCATAACAGAAACACCACAACATTACAGTGCAAGGGCTTCAAGGTGGAGGTAATGCTCTCTGCAGGCTCTAGTGGGATGCTCTGGAGTACGTGCATCTTCCTGTCACTGCCTGTCACCTAAGCAGGATAGAAGGAAAAGCACAGGCAAATTAATTGGAGTAAAGGAAGACCTGCTTTCTGCCCTCTAACTCAAGCTCCTTGGCTAGAAGAAGGGGCCTTTTATTTAGCCCAGCTCCTAGTTCATGGAGTACTTCTCTTTTTTGCCATACAACGTATACACAGTTCTTTGCTATTCTGTTACCTACCAATAACAGACACACACACACACCAAAGGGATATTTTCTTCATTTTGCAAGTGTAATTAAACAGCCTTGTTTTAAAGTCACATTTCCATATGAAACTTTTGTGCTTGTAACAAGTAGCGCTTTCACCCAGGCGTGCTGCTAAGCATTTACCTGGTGGGGCGGAACCAGGGAAGCATTGCGTGCTTTTCTGCCAGAGGGCAGATGGTTTCCTGTAAACAGCAATGGGCAGTCAAGTGCAGACCCCTGACTGTTCAAACTGTTGTTTCTCTGAGAATGTTGAAGGATGACCTTATGCTCTGGGATGCTATAGTTGGTATTTCAGTACAGGTTTAAGTGTCACTGCTCTGGGTTCTGTGTAGTCTGCCTAGCCCCAAGTGTAGGACTTGTGATGGAGATGAGGCATCTCCTGGTTTTCCCATGTGTTGCAGCTTGAGATGCTCCACCTGCAGCCTCCTGCTGCTGGTGACAGTGACAATCCTCCCTGTGTACCTGGATACTTATATGAGAAGTAAGCCTTACTAATAATTTCCTCATTTACAAGGAAAGGCAGACTTACGTCACCAGTAAAACAAGGCTTCCTTGCTGTAGTGCTTGTCCTGGAGATCAGCAATGCAGGCCTGCAAGTCATCAATGTGAAGGTAAATTAAGGAGCATGGTTCCTTCACTGCACTCCCCAGTGCCAAGCCTGGAGGAGCACTGGACAGCCCAGCAAATCTTTGTCACTGAAGAACTTGCAAAGAGCAAGCAAGGGACTTAGCTGCTTTGCAAATCAAACCCTGTAATTTGGAACGAAGCAGGACACTGTGGCCAGCAGCAGTCGCAGAGCAGGGAACCAGGGAGCTGGAGAGCAGAGGTGGTTCTGCATGTCCAGTGTGGGCTGTGTAAGTGGTGGGGAGGGGAGAGTGTGACAGAAAAACTGAGGGGATCCAGGGGATATGAATCAGTGCAATAGGATGCTTCTCTAGGGAACAGAGCACAAAGGAAAAAATGCGTTTGATTTTGAGGATGAGGAAGACCTGTGTCAAAACAGGAGACACATGAAACTGCTTCTCAAAAGCCAGAGCTCCCTCTAAGCTCAGTGCATGCACTGAATAAAAATAGACACCAAGCTCCTCTGCTCAGGAGGTATCAGGAGGCTCACCGTGGCACTGCGGTTTTGCTGGTTGCATGCCCAGTGCGGATGCTCAGGTTCACACCAGTGCTGTCACGGTGTTACAGACCTCTTGCTGGGCTGCAAGACAACTGGCAGAGCCAAACCCCAGTTGGTGTCCCTATTGCCCCTTTAAGTTTGGACTGCAGTGAATAAGAAAGAAGCTCAAGTGAAGGTTTATCTAGAAGCTCACACTGACGTTTTTATCCCATTACAGTCACATACACACTCAAACAGCGCAAACACATCAGGCCAAGGGGCACCAAAAGAGTTCAGTTTCAGTCTCCTCTGCAGCTGCTCAGCCATGTTATATCTCAGTGCCTTCACAGAGTATGCTAGTCAAATTCAGACACAAAAGCTGTTTCTCCGCTCTCCTCCCTTGATTAAGATGCATGACCAGATTAAAATGTCGTAATTTCCGTGAGCGAATGTCAACAATTCCTGAAGAGCAGTGGGAAGCTGCTGGGATGTGCTTTCAGATGCCTACTTGCTGAGCTCTGAATTTACAGTATTGTTTATCAGATTTCTCAGTATTTACACTCACTTTCCATTCCAGTAAACAGATGACATATTATATGATACTACTGTTCAAAAACCCCAAGGAAATGAAAACCAGAAACTCTCTGCAGCAGAAACCCGCAGACACAAAAGATGCTGAGCTTAGGTTCCTTCCAATGTCTTTTTACTCTGTCCATTATTTATAGGCAACACAGTTCATTTGTATTTAAAGTAGCTACAAACACTGCTGGTAGACAGGCATTGCTCAGTAGGGTCAGACTCTCAGTATTTTTAACTCAGAACCTGTCTTCTACAGTGACAGTTTCCAGATGCTTTAGAAGAAATATTTCTGTAACGGATGATAATAGGAAAGCCGGCCCCCAAATCAAATTCTTCTTTACTGAAGGAACTCAGCTTGTGACAAGGAGCCTGAGGAATACACTCTGTGTGTTTTGAAACGCAGTTGACTGGAGAAAGAGAGCATGTCCCTGTTTGTACATCTGTGCCTAGCTCTGACTGAATCCTGTGTGACTCTGGCACTCACTGTCATCCTGGAGCAGGTTGCCCAGGTGAGTGCCTTTCAGTGAACGAACTTGAGATCATTTACTGGAGTACAGTACCAGCAGTGCCCTTCATCTACTTCATATCATTTTTGCAATCTTCTTTACCTATGTTGACAGGCAAACCTACAGTGCTTGGTGATGCCATTTCACACACACTGGCAGGTGGCTCACCTGCCCTCTGCACAGTAAAGCCCTTTGGCAGCAGCCCAAGACAAAAGCTCTTCTTTAGAGGGTATTTTGTCTGCACTTTAAAAGCAAGGAGGACAATCCATGAAATAAGGAGGTGTTTCCAAATCTGTGCTGCCTCAGGATGGAGAGGCTGGGGGTGCCTGAGGGGGGTCCACGAGCCACACAGGATAACTCTGGTGAAAGCAGCTTCAGAGGGGACAGTGACTGAGTTCCTTGCTAGGACAGGCCTATGGTATGTGGCTTTTACCCTAGAAAGGGAAAATCCCACTTGCTTAATTGCAGGAAAGCTGTTGTTACTTTTGTATTGCACTCTCCCGTCCTTAATTAAATGGAATAATTTTACTTAATGAATTGAGCAGTACACCTGCAGTATGCAATATAGATTGGGAAAAATGTTCATTTTAGTTACACTAAGTTTATTCAACTGTGTTAATGCCAATAACTCCATCTGGCTGGAGCAGCAATCACAGTTTGGCATTTATTTCAAGGTATTCTAAGCTTTAGTTTCTGCAAACTGAAAGATGAGCCATCAAAGGGAATTTGATTGCAATGTTTGATTTAGCAAATTAATCTTGAGCTTTGAGAACATGACAATAGCAAATAAAGCTATATCATCTTCACCTGCATTACATTATATGGGGACATTTCCTTAAAATGGAACTGTTTTTGGCAATTGCTCTGATTCAGTAATTCATACATCGAAGAGTTAAACAAATGAGGGGATTTGAAGTATTAAATTTGATTGAATATTAATGCAATACTTTTCATAATACAGACTAGCTGCTAAAGAATTCTCTTTAAAGACCATCTTTGAGCTCAGCCATGGTGAAGTGCAGTGTGTGCCTTTTTGTAGTAGAGGATAACCTCTCCTAACAGGCTGTATTCAGTGTTTGCAAACTTAATTTTAAAATATATCTATGTAGAGTAATTTTAGTAGAGGATCTGCTCTGATACATGTTAGCAAGAGGGTGACACTCCTTGTATTTCCATGGTGAGCCAACCTAGACCTCTAGGGCTGCTGTTATTCTTGTGTTTCCTGTTTTGTATGCATTTATTTTTTGTTAACAGCAGAAGTTTTCCTCTTTCCTAGAGCACAGAAGAAGACAAACCATCAAAGACAAGCACATTCACTGAGGTGACAAAGCCATCGGTATGAGCTCATTCATTCTGCATCTGGACTTTGAAGCATCTGCACAGCGATGAGGGCCCTATCTGAAAGAGCTGTGTGTTACTTTTTAAGGGAATGAGCAAGTGTACAACCTCATTAACATGAGTTACTGTTGTTAAATGGCCAGGAGATATGAAAAGAAGAAGCAGGTTGGCAGGCTCTTGTGTTTCATGTGCCAAATGAGTATGGAATTGAAGAGGTTGCCGTGAAAAGGAAACTTCTTCCACTAGTGATTTATACTAGTGCAAGAAACACTAGTGATTTATAGCGTGAGCGCCTTAAGCATAAACCAGAAATACTTTAGGGCTTAGGAAAGACTGAGATTTAATATGTATTTCTGTGATGGTAAAGTAAATTCTTCTTTTTTTAATAGCATCATCTGTAAAGTTTCTTTTTAAAGAGGTCAGTCCACTAGATATACAGCAGATACGGGATATGGAAAGCTCAGCTTTCTAAAAGCCACTACAGATGTAGTCCCTAGTCCCGGTATCTGTGGCTAATCTCACAACTATTCACATATGCTCTGCCCAAGATACATGATTTACAATATAAACCATAACCCAAAACAACCTTTTTATCAACCATCTGCTGCAGTCTGAGGTTTACCCAAATAAGAATGGTTATGGTGCTTAGCTCTCAGCGGATTTTGTGGAAAGCAGAAAACACATCCATTCCTCATCTTAAGGTCCAGGATATTCCATGACAAAGCTCCCATCCCTTTGTTAGAGAGCCCCGGTCCATGAGAAGCAAGAACTGAATTGTCTAACATTTATGGGACATAGCTGCAAGACAGACAAATCCCCTCTGGCAACCAGGCCCTTCTGTGCGAGGTGATGTTCATACGTGCTCAGGACGGGACTGTTCTGTTCCAAGGACCTCAACAGACTTGGGAAATGAAAAATTATAGGTGACTGCTAAGAAATGGTAAGCAGAAGGATGTGTACATTGCATGGCCAGTGCTCAGCCAGGGCTCAGCTTCACTGCAAAACTACATCCCTAAAGGAGATAACACTATGGAGGAAAATGGTGGAAAAACAGTTAGTACTAATGGCAACTCAGTAAATTAAACTTGCAGACTCAATTACATGGCACTCCATCTTCGTGGGGCTGTGGTGATCCCTAGACTGGCAGATAAATGGGTCTGGAGCATCCATTCACCAGCTGATGTTTGAGTTGAAGAATGGAGACACAAGTCCCACCATCGTAGCAGATGTGTTCACGGTCCCAGGGCATCCTTTAGACATGTGTTTTGGATACTGGCTTGTAGGTCAGTGTGGTGGGTTGGACCTGGCTGGCTGACAGATGCCCACCAAGCCACTCTATCACTCCCCTTCTCAACTGGACAGGGAAAAAAACATATAACAAAAGGCTGATGGGTCAAGATAAGGACAGGGAGAGATTGTTCACCAATTACTGTTACTGGCAAAACAGACTTGACCTGGGGAAAGACATCACTTTATTACCCCTCAAATCAGAGTGGGACAAATGAGAAATAAAGACAAATCTTAAAAAAAAAAAACAAACCAAAACAAAAAAAAAAACACCTTCCCCCTACCCTTCCCTTCTTCCCTGGCTTAACATGGTCAGTTCATCACACGTTGTTTCTGCTGTTCCTTCCTCCTCAGGGGCGGACTCCTCGCACTCTTCCCCTGCTCCAGTGTGGGTCCCTTCCATGGGGTGCAGTCCTTCAGGAACAGATTGTTCCACTGTGCATCCCCTATGGGGTCACAAGTCCTGCAGCAAACTTGGTCCAGCACAGGCTCCTCTCTCCATGGGGTCACAGGTCCTGCCAGGAGCCTGCTCCAGCACGGGCTTCCCACAGGAACACAGCCTCCTTCAGGCATCTTCCTGCTCTGGTGTGGGGTCCTCCATGGGCTGCAGGTGGAGCCTGGAGCTCCTCCTCCGCTCCTTCTGCACTGATCAGTGTCTGCAGGGCTGCCATTCTCATGTTCTCACTCCTCTCTCCAGCTACAATTGCTGTTGTGTTTCTCCCTCCCTCCCCCCCCCCTTAAATATGTTATTCTAGAGGTGCTACCACCATTGCTGGTGTACCATCAGTGGGTCCATCTTGGAGCTAGCTGTTATTGTCTCTATCAGACATAAGGGAAGCTTCTAGCAGTTTCTCACAGAAGCCACCCTGGTAGGCTCCCATCTGCCAAAACCTTGTCACACAAACCCAGTACAGTCAGACCAGGGGGAGAATTTCTCACCACATGCTGCCTTTGAAGGAGCATGGAGGGATGGAGGATGCAGAGGTTGAGCTGCATCTCTGGATTGGGATTGGGATGCAGCGTCATAAGGGGCAGAGGGAGCAGGCTGCACACAGCTCTCTGTCCTTGGAGAGGGCAGACTCTGTCCATCTCCACTGCAGCATGAGACATATGCTGGAAAAACCCTTGAGAGGAAAGCAGGGGTCTGGTTTGGATCATCGCTGTGTCAAAGCCTGCAGAATAGGGCCATCATTGTGCTGGAGGACAAAAACTGTTTGTCAGCCTCTGAAGAGCACAGAGAGATGGTGGGAGCTGGGCTGCTGCCCAGGCTTAGCGTGCCCCTGCAGTGGCCTGCATTTAGTCCCAGATCATCCCAGAGAGGTTGAGCACTTTCCTGTCTGCTCATGGTGGTGGCCATGCAACTCATCCCAAGGCACACAGCAGCCCTGGCAGGGCAGGGGGAGCAAAGAAACACCCGGGGCAGAGAGCTTCCTTTTTTACTGACAGTCACAGGAGTGGTGATGGACTGTTTGAGCCTGCCCTACTTGTCCCTTCCCTTGCAGGACCCCTGTTCCTCATTTCTCTCTGCGCCTGCTGCTGTCTGCTTGGTGCACGCCGGGTGCTGTGGCTCTGCTGGCGGCAGCCCTGGCCCCAGCAGAAGCTCTGCTCCCCAGCAAGCGGCCTCCTTGCAGGGTCGGTGCCCTCGCAGCCGCGCAGGGACATCAATCCCCTTCACTCAATGCGTGTTCTCCACAGCAGCTTTATTTACAGGAGAAGATGCAGGAAGAGGGAAGCTGAGCGGTTCTGGTGGCCTCGGGCCAGTGGCTGGCTGCTGAGGCATTTCTCTATACCTTGGCGCTTATTTTTGTTTAATATCTTGCCCTTCTGTGTTTATTTTGCAGGTGTTTATTTTGGAAAGGGCTCTGTTTACACTTCTGTTTTTACGTGGAGCGCACATATGGTGATATTTGCTTTGCCGGGACTTAGCATTCCTCCTCCTCCCCTTCCACGCAGCCCTCACTCCAGCTTAGCTGCTGGTTACAGCCAGCAAGTGAAAGGCTCCTTTTGCTTTCAGCCTGTGCTCCCACACAGCAGCCCTCAGCCTTCTCACGCAGGCAGCTCAGACAAAGCACGTTCGTGCTGGGAAGTCCTCTGAAGCACGGCTGATACCAGCACTCCCCACCCTCCCCACCTCCGGTACATCAGAGGAGGACAGATGTGATGTTCTTCACACATAAAGCATCTGAATTGCTTCACTGCAAAAGGCCTTTCTCCCTCCTCACCTGGGCTCAGCCTGGAGCCTCACATACACCCTGGGATGTGCTCGCACAAACCTGGCTGCAGTTTTAACCCTGGTTTGTGCTGAAGTGGTGAAAAAACAGATAAATCAGATCTTCCATGTCCAGCCTGAGAAGTTAGCCCGGTGGAGTTTAACTATCTCTTCAGCAGGAAGGAAGCCACTGAAGACCTTGTACATAAGGTTTGTCCCTCCACGCCAACTAAAAAAGCTCTGGGTTATATCATCTTTCCCACCAAACCCCACAGTTGAAGTTTCTAGGAAATGGGGAATAATACTCACCCAGCCTTCACTTCTGAAGGAGCACACTTGTTTTCTCCAGTTTCTGTTTGCAGCAGGCTCCTGTCGGTGGTACCCTTTCACTGGCAGTTGCGGTGAATTTCTGTTGTTGGAATCTTTGGGTTCTCCACCTCTTGCCTGATGTGTGGGCTTTCCTCTGCAGTTCCTCTCTGACACTAGGCCACCAATCCTTGCCCTTGTACAGCAGTTTCTGTTGGGTTCACCCAGAGCTCTAAGGATGGGAAATCCAGCTGGTCAGTTGAGGGCATTGCAGATCTCTTCAGAGCAAAACTTGGAGTGATGCTGAGGAAGGGCTTTGTGAAGTTTGCAAGTTCCCTTCTGTCTGAGAGGACATAGGTGCTGAGACCTCTTGGCTCAGGGGCTCTCCCACCATGTGAGGAAACCTTCCCTTCTACCCTGGGCCTGCTACACTTTGCCTGGCTTTCCCACAGCTCTGCTGGTGCAGGAGCCGCTCAAGGGCTTGGGAAAACTGGTGCCTGGAAGTTTCACTTATGAACCCTCAGCACCAAGCTCAGGAATTGTAGAAAATATATATTAACTAAACATTATAGATGATTTCTGTATTTTATGTGCAGCTGATCTTTGAATACTCCTAGGCTGTGGACATCCCTAGAATTGGCTATTTGCAGAGATCTGTGATGAGCGCATTAATATTCTTTGTTTAATCTTGCCACTGAGCTCATGAAAAAAACAGGAGCAAATTTGCATTCATCTCCCTCCTGCCCTTGTCTGCTCAGAAGAATGAAGCACAGGGAAGCTACCATCTCGGAAATACAAGAGTAGCAAGATCAGGATTTGAAAACTCCATGGGAGTTCAGAAATGAGAGCTAGAGCTTTCATTCCTGATGTGCTCCCTTCATTCACAGTGTTAGTTGTCTCAACAGTTTGTGAAGGGTTCATATGTCTCCACTGCCCAGTGAAGATACCGCTTGTAGCCTGATGCTGCAGGAGTGCTCATGGTGTAAGTCAGGGTCCTAAAAATGGTCCGCAGCTGCTTTTCAGACTGTAGTGTCAGCGCAGAAGCAAAGCGGGGAGGGCTCTCAAGTACAAAAGACGTGGTGCCTGCTCAGCCATAAAGACCGGTGGAAATGCAGCCACAGTCTCTGATGTTTTATGAAAACACACTGATTAGAAATACAACTTCCATGAGAAGCATGAAGTCTAGTGCAAAGGTAAGCTAATGGCTGGAAGCCTGTGACTCCTTCACTTAGTGCTGAGGCATCCTGCGCCAGGGGGTATCCCTCTTCCAAGCCTGAAGCCTGGACCCCAGCAGCAGTCCCTGCTGTCCCAGCAACCTCCTTGCAGCTCTGCACAAGTGCTGTTTGGGAGGACCCCCTGTCCTCTGTCTCCTGGGAGACCCCAGGGTCTCAGGAATCCTGATGGGCCCCAGCAATTTAGTGATGACTCCTCCCTTGTCCAGCCCTCATCTCCCCCATGGCCATCAGACCCCTCAGTTTGCTCCTCAGCAGCAGACAGGCGGTCACACTCATTGCAAGGAGACAGGGAGTCACTCTGGAGACCCTGGTGACCTCATACTGGTTTCTGTGGGTTTTGTGACATACACGGGACACAGATGTGGTCAAAATGCCTTTAAGTGCATGCACTAGGAAGAGATAAATTGCTCTCTGAAGGTGCCTGTCTCCCCTCTGTGACTGAAGCAGGGGACGATAGCATCATACCTAGACTTTGGAGATGGGCATTAAGGGCAGTGATTAAGCATATCTTATATATAGTTATACACTCATGCAATTAAAACTCATTTCAGACCATTATTGGTGAGCTCTGACACTTGAAGAGCATGAAAATATCCCCTGATTTATCCTGGTTCCAGACTGAAGGGATGCCCAATTTAGGATTTTTAATAGGATTTCTCATTACATGTTCTGTGACTTCATACAACCTCTGCTATATTCACATCAATTGATATCTATTTATCTGAATTTATTTTCAGAAGCACTTGCTCCCCTTTCTCTGCATGCCCCACCTGTGTTCAGATAAGCTTTTTTGGCTCAGAAATGTACAGTTTGGGTTCTATGCTTTCAGACTCAGCATGTTTTCAAACCACTTAGTGACAATAGGCATCTTTTAAAGTTAATTACTGAAG